GAGAGGCCTTACCTCCTGGCCAGAGGGGCGAGCTGTGGCTGCGAGGCCCAACAGTCATGAAAGGTAATGAGACTTTGTCATGTCACAAGTGTACTATATTGCAGAAATGGTTTATCTTAAGATAATTTATAAGTTTTCAGCGCCTTTTCTTACAAATCAGTTAATATAGGAGCAAGTTCTAGCCATGAGTCGTGACACCAATACCTAATCTAATTGATCTTTGTAAAACCTTTGACTTACAGGTTATGTAGGAGATGACAAGGCAACTGCTGAGACCTTGGAGTCAGCCGGGTGGTTGAAGACGGGTGATCTTTGTTTCTTTGATGATGAGGGGTTCATCTACATTGTTGACAGGTTAAAGGAATTGATCAAGTACAAGGCCTATCAGGTGATTGCAAGAGATATCCTTCGAGAGTTAAACTCATAACAAAGATGGTATTTTGATCAGTCCATTTGAGTAATGTGTTGTTTGGTCTCTCTATGTCGAACAAATTGCAGGTACCCCCAGCTGAGTTGGAACCCATACTTCAATCCCATCCCGACATTGCCGATGCCGCTGTGATTCCGTATGTATCTAGTACTATGACATTCTTTGCTTGTGAAAAGCTAGTTTCTTTCCATGCTCTTATGGCATCAATCTATCAATTGACGACTTTAATCTCTTATTTGTCACTTTTGAAAATTTTTAGAAGTATTTAGCTGGGAAAAGAAACTGGTCCATAGAAAAACAAAAAACAAAAGAAATTCAAGAACTTATGAGGTCATTGAAGAAAATTTTGACAGATATTTTGCCGATAAGTTTGCCTTTATGAGAAATTTGGTCTTTTGCCTCCACTTTCTTGCATAGTTAGTGTCATGGTTTCATGGTAGAAGATCATAGTTTCTGAAAGAATGTTGCAGTATATTTCATGTATCTGTTTACCTCCTCAAGGTATACTAGTTCTGATTTCTGCCTGTTGGCGTTTCTGAAGCAGGTATCCTGATGACGAAGCAGGGCAGATTCCCATGGCCTATGTAGTTAGAAGGCCTGGAAGCAATATCACTGAGGCCGCAGTTATGGATTTTGTTGCAAAACAAGTATGCTCCTGAATACTTGTAAAAATATCCAATTGATTCTTTTCATAATTAACATCCATACTTCCAGTTCTCTTGAAGTTGTATGTTACAGGGCATCATATTGAAGTTGGTTTGTTATTGCAGGTTGCACCCTACAAGAAGATTCGACGCGTATCGTTTATCAACTCCATTCCAAAATCTCCAGCAGGAAAGATCTTGAGGAGGGAGCTCGTTAGTCATGCTCTATCTAGCCATTCATCTAAATTATGATTTACTTCTTCAAACAAATGTAAGCTTGCTGAGCATTGCATTCCAATTCAACATATCAACTTGTTTTAGCACGTATATAAATGCAATCGATCTTGGAAGTCACAGTTGTTATGTTTCTAATCAGAATTCGACCGTGTAAAGCCTTTTGTAAGATAAACCTACGTTTGAGCCTAATTGAAATCTGGCCGGCTGAAGCACAACCTTTCTACACATTATTTGTTTTTGTTTTGTGTCCACATTATTTATGTTTACTGTTGTTTATACCAAAATGAACAGCCAATGAGAATCGGACGCGTTGATAAGATTGGGTCTATGATAGCCTTCGGCACCTTGCTTCGGCACCTAGCCTACCGATCCAACGATTAATGCAACCTCCTCTTCTAGGACACGTGGCAGGCTCACAATCGACGTCTACAGTCCCACATCGAAATTCTACACAGCTTGCACATCTCCCAAAGTTTATAAAAGAAGCACAATTCTCCAAAATAGAGGTAATCAGAACTTACGGCATACTGCCTATTGATCTGTTAGTTTAAGCTTACTAAATCCGTACTTACTTAAGCATCGGAGAGCCTTCAGTCGGTACCACACCGGTGCCCTAGGTCTTACCGAGCGTTTTGTTATCTTGCAGATCACGCGCTTTACCGAGGCTCCGAGCATATCAAAGACCCAAACATCACTAAGTTGAGTGGGAAAGTGCCGAGCCATTTTCCTACATCAACAGTTTGGCGCCGTATGTGGGAAAACGATAAAAGTCGACCCATATTTCTCCAGAACACATGGGGACCACTTCAGTACCAACGTTCCTATCGGAAGAAGGATTACCGTTAGGAAGGCAAAGCGGAGCTAGCCCTGCGCTGCCCCCTTGCACTCCTTTCGGTAACGCACCAGTGATTCAAACCACTGTCGAAGCAGAGCTTTTGGCCCAAATCACCTCTCTCTAGAAGGACATGGCAAAACTCCAAGAACATAACAATCTTCTTTCGTCTAAAGTGGACAAAACTCAGCAACTGCTCAATCAGCAGCAAACGCAGAATATCCAAACTACTGAATCTTCCCAGAGTCTGCACACTCCTAGTCGGCATAAGAAGGGGAAGAAGGGGAAAAAGACAACGCCTGTACCTTCCAAGCAGTTGGTAGTTCCGGCACCCCGGGACCAGCCGCACATACCGAAGAAGGTTTACACCGACTGTTGCCATCGGATCAATGATAGGGAAGCCGAAAGGCAGAGATTT